TGAAGTAAGCGGTACATCGCGATTCTCACCGTTCCACATAATATCCCTGCACAGGTGAAGCTCCATCAGCGCTGGGCGGCTGCCAAGTCAGGAAAACGTAGTCCTTGTTCACGTCAGACACCTGCACTGCGAGAGGAGACGCGGGACCGCCCACCACTGCAGCCGATGCATCTATGGATGTCAGCAGAGAGTCAGTTAGCGAGAAGAAAAACGGCATAGAAATATTCAGCCCCCAGCTATGTACTAATAACTGAACTGAATTTGTGTAGTTCTAATGAAAGCTGAATGAACCAGTAAACAAGTCAAACAGGAGCAATTTGTCCCAGCTGACAGAGAAGTTTTTGATGTGCTGCTTTTTTCACATTATTTGGAATATATTTATTGGATTTCCAGTTTAGCACTCAACTAAATCGTTTACTGTGGAAACACAGGGTTTGTTTTTCCAACAAACAAAGTAGGAGAAAGATAGTGAGCCAAAGGAGGAGGAGATGTGTAAAACCAAGGGAAAAAGGAACTGGAAAGTTTAATAATAGGATCTACAGCAATCTAGTTCATGCAATCGATTCAAACATATAAGCCTGAAAGTAAAAAAAATGGCCACCAATCCTGGGTTTCTTAAGTTTTCATGTCTGCAAGATTTTCAGAAAATTTGACCTCTGACCTTGAGGTCAAGATCACTGAGATTCCTGTCCAAGATTTTTAGTAGATGCACCTATGGCATCAATTTGAAAATCCTACATTGTGTCAGTCTCAAATGATCATGTTCACAAAGTTGGGCATTCATGCCACCCGCCTGCCAGTGACGACAATATCAAAAACGAGTTTTGCTTTGTTGACCTGCTATTGTGTGTTTCTCCTAATGACCAAAGGATTATCAATGATTTTAAAGTAATCAATAGTTGCCACTCCACATGTTAAGTTACTCCAGGAGATATTCTATATAAAATAAATTCTGTGTGCTCAAATTGGAAAGATTAAAAAAAAAAAACAGCGTCTCAAGTACCTGATGTTCTTTGATCCAGTTTTTTTTATCGAAAAGAACATGTGAACAAATGTAATTCTTCCATTTCAGAGCCATTAGTGACAGTTAAGTTATGGTTTATTAGAAAATTGTTTAGACAGAGATGGAATCATTGCTAAAAGACGGGGTGGTAGAGAACGTATAGGTACAAATAAGACCTTCCATGAGCTCTAACTTGTTTTGACCAGCCACCTATCCCACATGGTGATCTCCCTGGAAAGTTTACCTAAAATGCACCTTTTGAAGTCTTCTCCAGCAAATGATCAGAAAACAGATCAAAGTTCACCGGTAGCAGTCGTTTTTTTCTGATGATCTACATCACAGACCCTGCATTAGTGAAGTTTTGCTACTTTAAACTTGATATATCCCACGATACTGATGCTCAAAGCTGGTTATGGAAAAAGCTGTTCTGAACACAAACAAGACTTTGGCTTTAGATTTTGATATTATAACAGATCAAGTGTGTGTTAATCTCTGAACTTTCAAATCTCCTGCCGTCTCAAATTTGACACACACACACACACACACACACACACACACACACACACACACACACACACACACACACACACACACACTTGTTTTCATGTCTTAGTGAGGACATCTGTCTGTCAGCATCTGACATAATGCTTTCCCTCGCTGCTCACCGCAACCCTAACCATGAAACCCTTACCCAGGGGTGTCGAACTCCAGGCCTTGAGGGTGGGTGTCCTGCAGGTTTTAGATCTCATCCTGGGTCAACACACCTGAATCAAAAGATTAATTCATTGTCAGGCCTCTGAAGAACTTTAAGACATGTTGAGGAGGTCATTTATTAATTTAAATCAGCTATATTGGATCAAGGACACATCTAAAAACTGCAGGACACCGGCCCTCGATGCCTGGAGTTTGACACCCGTAATTGTACGTAATTGTAACCTTGACACCAAAACCCCATTTTGACCCTCAAACTCGTGGGGACGGGAATTTTGTTCCCATAAGTGACTGCTGGTCCCCGCAACTAATTTCTGTCCTCACAAAGATGCCTAAACATGTACACACACACACACACACAGACATAGCGAAAAGGACAAAAAAGAAATGAAGAAATAATTCAAAGCAGACTTGAATAACATAGCGTGACATGTTTGCAAACCTTTTCTTGATGCTGAGAATAGATTGTTGTTGTTTTTTAACAAAAGGCTTAAGTCAACATTTAAATAGGAAACATATCTCGTTCCTTTTTAAATGCGCATCCACCAGCCACCCTCGCTCCCATCCTTCATTTCTTATTTGTTTTTTATTGCAAACCCCCCCATTTGTAATGCTAATATGATGGCTGAATGATGGAAAAAACACACATTCAGAGACCTTCCCTGATTCCAAAATTAGTACCTACAGCTCTGGTGAAAAAAACGAGCTCCCAAACAAAAGAGAGAGCGAGTATCTCAAGTATTTGAGATTTACCTTGCATTAAGTGTCCGTATATGTGTGTTTATTTGGGCTCAGATGTGTTATCGATGTATGTGCACAGGAGCTCATGAATGATTCAGAGCACTTCATGCTGTCGCTGTGGGACTTAAGGTTGAATACATACATGAACAAGCACTACAATTACTTTAAAACACAAATGCTGCTTAGATTTCAAGTTGATGACTCAAGTGTGAGCTTCTCTCTGGTTTATTTGCATGTCGAAAGAAGAAAGTGGCATATGAAAAATATATACTTTCATCGAACAAAGTTAACAAGCCCTCGACAGAGAAATATTTTGATTGATGGTGCAATTTCCCTGTGTGAATCAGTTTGCTGAAAGGAAATGAAACTAGAACCAAAATCTGGTGAATACAAATAATGTTTGGAGGAATGTTTGCTCTGAACTCGAAAGTAAAAAAAGACGATTATATTTTCCAAAAGACATATATTTTGTACGCACAGGTGACAAGATCACACTTTGTCATTATTTGTCATTTTGCCGAGGACTGAAAACATCACATCAACCAAAGCGTATAATTTGAAAGACAGCTGGGCAAGTTCTTCAAAGAAGACACTAAATATTTGAGGAGTTTCTGATGTGATCTGACACCCACTTACAAGCGTGGCACAATGCCTATGAGTGGCTTTAGGAAGTCGTTGAAAACAAGCTACGTACTTCAAAAAAAGCAACGTGTCTGCAAAATGAATCATACATTTCATCATCTGCTTATATAAGCATTAACTGTTACCACTATATATGTTATTATGTAAATAGAAGCAGGTAATGCCTAGGCAACCTAGGTACTCATGTTCCCAAGGCCTATTGTTGTGAGGTTTGACGATGATCCACAAAAAAATTGTGGATCATATAAAATTTTTACTGATTTTCAAATTTGGTGCAAATTTGACGTTTACACCCGATTTTCACCAAAATGAAATCAGTTGAATCTGTTATTAGCATCTACCATCACATAAAATTTGGAAATTATTTTTTTGAAAACTGTAGATGCTAGATGGCTAACAAACAGAGAGCCAGACAAACAAATGCAACTGATTACATACTCCCTCCCTTTGGGGGGAGAATTACTCACTTGGTAGAAACTCAATGCATCTAGGAAATCCAAAGTTCAAACCAAGCATTAGAACAGAAAAGAAAAGTGCTTTAGCTAACTTTGAATGTGCCATGGTTGTTTGTATCAGACGGGCTGGTCTGAGTATTTCAGAAAATGTTTTACCTACAGAGATTTGCCAACATCTATAGAATTTACAGAGAATGATTGAAAAAAAGAGAAAATATCCAGAGAGTTGCAGCTATCTAGGTGAAAAAGCCTTGCTGATTCCAGAGTTCAGAGGAGAACCACCAGATTGCTTCGAGCTGTCAGCTATGACAAGAAACTGAGGCAACAGTTCAAACAGGCTCCCCAAATCTGAACAACAGAAGACTGAGAAAAACGTTAGTTTCAATTTTCTGCAGCTTTTAGATGAGAGAGGTCAGAATTGGATGTAAACAACATGAGATCATGGATCTCTCCTGCATTATTGTTGCTGGCCATGTCCATCCCTTTATGACCACCCTGTATAATCTTATGATAGCTGCTTCCAGCAGGACATGATGGCCTCCACAGTGACCAGATTTCAATCCAATAGAGCACCATCAAGACTTAGTGGAATGGGAGATTTACATGATGGATGTGCAGCTGACAAATCTGCAGCAACTGTCTGATGCTATCATGTTTCCAGAGTTTCCAGCACTTTGTTGAATCTATACCAATACAAATTGAAGCAGCTCTAAAAGTAAATTGGGTCCAACCAAGCACAAGCAAGAGGTAATTAATACAATTACCATTGATGGTAAATATGCTTAAAATGAATTCATATTCAGTTATTTTAAAAATGTTTGCAAAATTTGTAATATGACCAAGAGTGCTGGGCACTTCAAGGAACAAATGAAGAGCACTCTGTTTTCAGATGCATGTTCTGCTTAGGTGTGTTTGTAAAAACAGTGAAAATGTGGGATATTACAAGACTGTGACTGGTGGTTATAAAAGAGACGTCAGAAGGAAAGAAGCACGTGGTCAAGAAATTTCTTATGTTATATTGAAATAATGTGAAGCTCTTGTGTTATTATTTAGTTAGAGTTTAGTTGGTTTTTATTCTTTAGTTTAGTTTCATCCATATCTCTGAGTTTATGAGTCTTTTCCTGTCTTTGGTGTAAGTCTGTGTTGTCCTCTATGTTGTACTTTTAGCTGTGCCAGTACTTTCGTCTCTCCTTTGTCTGTTTCATGTATGCGCTTCCACGTTATCAAGCTCGTGTTGTCATGTCTACATTCTATTATGTTTCCTGTTTTATTGTGAAGAGTCCGTTCCATGCTCAATGTGTTTAGTTGTACTTCCCCTGTGGCATTCAGGTTCATTTGTGTCAGCTGTGTTTCCCCAGGTGTTTCCACTTCCCTCATTACCCTTCAGTGTATTTATGTCTTCTGTCTTCACCAGGTCAAGTCACATCTGGTCACAGAGTTTCCTTTCTCCTGTTCATTGTCCATTTATCTCTTGTCATAGTTTTTCATGAATCCTGTTCCGACCATGTTCAAGTCAGTTTTTATGTTTTAGTTTTTCCCCGTTTAGGTTTCAGTTTAGTTTTTTTCCAGTTTGCATTGCTTTGTTTTTGTTTCGACATCAGCCCAGATATAAACGGCTCGCTTTTTGTTATACCGCAATTTTTTTTTGTGTCCGCATTTTTGGTCCACACCTCAAACACACCGGCCCACCCCCCCGTGACAGTTTTTAAGACTACATGAATGGTATGTTGGGTTTTTTTTATAATCATGATGATCCTTTTGAGAGCCAGCTGAGGGTTTCCTATTGTTTCTAAACTTTAAGCTAAACTAATGCATCTGGAGGTTTTCTGTTTGTTCATGCTAAGCATTTGCACATGAAAAGTGGTCTTAATTTTCTCTCAGTGAGGCTGTGGAGGTATATTTTCACATTAGTGGATAATTTTGAAAGCGCCAAAGCCAGCTTCAGTATTTATATTAGATCCATTAATCTTTGGACTCTAATGCATTGATAAATTGTAAGTGTAGGCTAACATTTTAGAGTATTTCACCTGTGAGATAGACAAAAGCGCTGTGCTCTTGGATTCCATCCGTGGTTCTCAGTCTTGCAGTATAAAGACCTTCATCCTCCTTGTGTGCAGCCCTTAAGGTGATGACGGCCTTGGTGTCAAATGTTTTAATCTCCACATTGCTGGATTGATGCAGTTGTACACCTGGAAAATAGAAAAAGCAAGCTAAAAAGTCAAGAATAATGCTTTTATGACCCATTACTTTCATTTTACCAACTTCACTGTTCAAAAAGGTCTTTCACACCACTAGACTCGAGGTAATTAATGCTTTAACTTTAACTTCTGGCTGTGTCCCTTCATATTTTAATGAGGCCATTATTCACCCTCTTTTAATTTTAGGAAAATTTCAAAACTGCCTTCATTTCCAAAACATTATAAAAAGTGTTGGCCAACCAACTACCAGAAGTTTGAACTGTTCACAACATTTTAGAGAACTTTCAGCCAGATTCACTCTACTGAAATTCAAATGAAATTTTAGCACATAAAATGAGATGAAATGCAGGTAACTATTCAATCCTTATACTCTTGCGTCTGTCAGCTGCTTTGACACAGTTAATCGTAGTACCCTGATTAAGAGATTTAGAACGTGGGTGGGCATTTTGACTTATTTTCTTCCCATCCCTCTCATTGGAGTGTTACACTTGCTTTTGCTAATTTTGTGTCATCTCCTGCTGCTTTATCCCGTGGTGTGCCGCAAGGTTCAGTCCTGGGACGTATCCTGTTTGCTCCCACTTGGACACATCCTGAATAACTTTGAAGACATTTCATACTATTGTTATACGGCTGACATTTCATTGTACTTGTCTTTGAAACCCCAGAATGTGACCAAATTATCTGTTGTTCAAGACTGCATTCATATTATAAAGGACTAAATGGTATCCTATTATCTGTTTCTCAATACACAAAAACTGAAGTTATGATCTGTGGACCTGACATCTTTGTTCCCAAAAGTAATTAAAATCTTGGACCCTTGGGATGATTTGCTCTGAGTAAATCTAAAAGGTCCTAAACCTTTGGCGATTAGAGCCCTCCATCGTCAGTTGCCTCCATACATCAGTGAGCTACTACAGCCATATATAACTTCTACATCTCTGAGATCTGCTGATCCTTGCTTGATGGCTGTCCCTAGAGCCCTAGATCTGTGCTTTCTCTGGACCTAAGATCTGTGTTAATACATTTTTAAAAGAAACTTAAGACCAGCTTGTGCAGGCTTGCCTTGATTTAGTTTTATACCATTTAAATTGTTGTGTATTCTCTTCTGCAAAGCACTTTGTGAACTTTGTTCTTTAAAAATGCAATATAAATAAATTTTACTTACTTAATTACTTTGTATTTGCAACACTTACCATCTCTAAACCAGCTGACATCCTTCTGGAAGAGGAGCAGAGCTGAGGTGAATGTACACTCCAGGGTGAGGGTGTCGCCCTCTTTCACCCAGGTCGGAGGAAAGGAGGTGCCAAACCGAGCTTCCTGTTGAAGCTGTAAGGCTAGAATAGATGGGAGGAATGGAGCAGGAGTAAGAACACACGGGTGATAGAGACAGAAATGCCTAAAAAGACCATCTAATACAGACTAGAAAAAGACCCACTGCTTTATCCAAGCACACACACACAAAGCAGCTATAAGAGAATTCCCCGGGGGAAACGTCACAGGACAGCAGAAAAGCTGCAGATGGCACTCTTTGTTTTTAAGTGAACAGTTCCTGACAAGTTATTCCTTTAGCTGCCTGTCATTCTCTGCCTTGTCAAAAACAGCAAAGCAATACAATCCGGACGTGCAAGATATGTGTGCCATGAGGTCTCGTCAAATCCCATTCTCAGGGATGAATCTGAAAGATTGTGACATGCTTCTCATAATGATCTTGTTCTGCTTAGAAGTCCGGGCTATCACAACAGTGTGCGTAGAATTATTGAAACACACCGCAAAGATGTTTGCTTCCCATCATTCAAGTCCTGCATTTCCCTCAGTGCACTGATGTTATGATAAATTTACCGCAGTCACGCTTTAGTTTGAGTGATTTGTTTTGGAAAATACAATCAGCTCCATATGAGATAATCAAGTATCAGTTACAAAAAAATAGCAGCATGCAATTCTTCAGCACATTCTCCTAGCAAGCGGCCCCTGATGCCATTACAAGCTGATAAAGCTTCATTCAACATGATTGCCACTTAATATCTGTGTGTGTAGGGAAAATATTGGATTGTCTCGCACCCACATGGTCATTCCTCAGAAGCAATAGTGTAATACATACATAAATTATATTGCTCCTGACTTTTCCAGTTTTGCTATGTCTTTAAAATCCCTTTAAGATAAAATAAAAATCAGCACATTTTCAATAGAAATCTTGCTTTCTTTAGAAACGCGCACATTTGCACAGTCAGTATATGAAATCTGTCGAACCTGACAAGAAACACGCAACATCTGTGCACGATGATGACAATGGACAGAGTTGACTATCAGTAAATTTTTAGCAGTGCATACATGGGTCACAATATTAAAATAACTCTTATCAAAAAAATCCAGCTTGTTGAGAAATGGTCACAGGCCTTTGCTGTCTGAGACTGGTATCCTTGGGTCCTGTGGGTTACAAGCAGGGTTTTCAAAGTGTGGCCTGCAGGCCAATGAGAGCCCTTGGTAACCGTTGGGAGGCCTGTGGGGGCAACAACAAAACACTCTAGGACTGGATATTTCCCTCATTCACTTTATCTAACAGCTCAGAGCAAAACTAAGGGAGCTTTTGTCTTTATTTACAACACTTCAAACATTCTCACCACCCACCAACCACAACCAACCACCACCACCACCACCGAAGCATATGTTTGAGCCTTCTTCTTTTGGGATTTTTCTTTTAGGCTTGGCAAGTGTGTATATATATTATATACATAACAGTAAAATCCACATGAATACCAGGACCAAAATGGGCTTGGGACCAGCATTAGGGGTACACAGGGTTGTGGCCACCTGTGGTTGGGTTATGTTTGCAAAAGTCATTTATATAAGTGTTAAGTTAAATCTGGGCACTAAAGCTACTTGGAAAAGGTTGGATGAAGATGGTAATTTGTGAAAATACTAACAAAAATAAATTAAAAAACAAGGGGAAGTTGAAGGGACATTAACTAATTTAATATAAAACTCTAAAAGTGTATATATTTTTTCAGGATGTCATGTTTTATACAAAAACTAGAGGTCCTTGTAAGATAAACATGTTTATGTCAGATAGCTGTTCCTGGCAAAACCGCTTCTTTGGTTTGATCAGATTGCGAGCATATATATGTATAGAAATTATGTAGTTCTAGGTTAAAAAGTCCTGAACCCCACACATGGCAGAAGCTAATCTAGGCCACAGAGTGCCACAGCTAGTGCGAGGTGCTCCGCAGCTTGAAGCGAAGTGGGATAAATCTCCCGCTGTCCCTGGAATGAAATATACATGACTGTCGTTTCTGCTCACTTGGAAGCAAGTCATTTTATCCCTTCAGTAACTACCCCACAAATAGTCTTACTTATGCCTGTACATCTATGAACACCCACACAGAAACATAAATTCCCGTGATATCCAAACAGCATCAGTGTGCAGCTCCCTTTCATTCCTCCCATGTCTTTCTTTAAGAGGTGCCACATGCACAGCAGAGCCAAACGTTGTGTCAGTCTTCAAAGTCACTCAGCCTGCCCTCGTTTACTGATGGAGGGAGGAACTTCAAAGGGTGGCAGAGAAAATGAAAGGGGACACTTTTCATTAGGCACTGGTGTGAAACTTACCGGAGGTCTGCAAGCGCTCTGAACCAGCCACGGCTCCTTGATATGCTGAATCGCAGGGCGGCAGAGCAGGACAGATTGGAGAGTGGCAGGCAGGGTCAAAAACAGAGAGAAAAGCAGTGAATGATACTGTGAGACTGAAGAAGAAACATGTTTAAAAAAAAAAGAAAGAAAGCAAGAAAAGATAAAGCAGAAGGCGAATCAAACCTGGCAATGCCACATTTATGCAAGTCACATCTAATATTCCCTTTAACCTAAGGCTGTGTTAAAGCCTGAAGAATACCTGTGAAATGTAGAAGAAGCCTTGAAGTGTCTCATTAAAGTCAAAGTGAGCTGAGCATTCAGGAAGTGAAGCCTTTTCATAAAAGGGCAGGTAGGTCAAGGTAATAAAAAATAAATAAAAAAATAAATAGTTTCTGTAACACTGCTGCGAGGCAGTATAGCTCACTGTAGATGTTATTAGTCACTGCTACACCCACTGTCTCATTTTAATTTATTATGCATGAGCACTGCAACGGGACCTGTTTTTCTGATCATTTCCGTTGATGCTGGTTCTCTTACAAACACCAAATTTACATAGAGACTCAGATAATGAGGCTAGAAAACCGCACCATGGAGACCTGAGGCATTAGGAGGATGGAGATACAAACATTTGGTCAAATTTAGCTAGCATAGCATCTGCACCCTGGGCACCTTAATGATCATCTGTGCAACAACATAAAGCTAAAAAATAAATGAAATGCTCTATTTGTCATAGCAGGATTTCAAAATATGCACTTACGTTAGCTGTAAATGGACTAATGAAGAAAAACATGCCTGTAAGGAAAAAACCCAGCGCTACATTCTTGGTGTAATGTAAAAGGAGGTTTAAGTAAATATTCATGGAAGCTTGAGGTGCTGGTTAAATTTAACGTTTGAACTTTA